AAAATAAAAGAACCTAAGTTAGCACAAAAAATCATTTTTATTGCCTTGGAAAATAAAGAAACAACAGGGTCAAGCCTGCAACCAAGGTACGTGCCCTTCTCAGGAATTGAACTCAGGACCCTTCAGTTCACAGGCTGATGCTCTAACCACTGAGAAAACCATCCAGGGCTAGCTTTTATTTATGAAGAGTCACTTAGTCTGAATAAATCTGAGGGCTTGTCGATGAAGCACTCTGGATTCAGTGCCTTGACAAAAATTAAACACTTGATAAAGCCCCGGAGCCCTCCCCACCATATTAATTTCAGGTGGCTTAGATAACAAAAGTCAGCTAAGACTTTGCGACTAAAGGAAAAACAGAGATAAGAAGTACAAGTTGGTAAAGGCTATAGGAATTGGAGGCAGGACCAAGTGAATGCCAATGATTTAGAAGGAGTGGGTATAAAAAGGTACTACTTAAAATTTTCTGAGCACCTGAATTTTAAGTTACAGAAAATATGAGATTGTAGATAAATGCCACAGGGAAATAAGGTGAGGTCTTGGAAAATAAGAATTCTCTGGAGAAAATTTAAAAACTCGATCAATGTTGAGTTCGAAATTTGGCAGAAACCCATAAAGCGGTAACAGTGCTTCAGAAAGCCTGAGTAAGAGCTGGGGTGGAAGGGACAGGGAGGGCAGGAGCATTAGGAAGAATCTCCTTGAAAGGGTTGGTAATACACTGTAATAGCAGAGAATTCTAGCACCCAATGAAATTATTACCATACTTAATGTGCTCAGAATGAATGTGGCAGGAAGGGCGAAGCCTAAACTGATTTTTAACAAGGCTGTATTTTAAATCGTACCTTCTGTTGTACATGACTTATTTCCCTTCAGATTATGCCTCACCCAATTGAAAAGAAATCAACAGAAACATAAAATCTTTTCCCTAATGGCGCAAAGAGTACTCAGCATTCCAGCAGCCTCTCCTAGGACTATCTCTGGCTTTCTCCCTCCTCCTCAAGTGAAGGGTTTCCCCTCATCTAAAGCTCCCTGGGCCAAAAGTTCTCCCTGGAAGCACATCTCAGTGGGAGGATCCCAAACGTGCCTCGGGTGGTTTGGGTTCTTTTAATTACACATAGGTTTGCTGATCTATAGTTATGAAGTCATAAAATGGGAATATTCTGTTCTCTGTAGGACAGTGACTTCAACGAGATGCTAGGGGTATGTGGCACATCTGAACTGGAATCAAATAGCCGTATTTTCTCGATAGGTACAACAGTATCCTAAATAGTAAGAACCTCAGCCTGCTGATGGTTTTCATGTCTGGTTCTGAGTATCAGCCAGTTATTCTTTATTATTATTTATTATTATTATTATTATTGTCAGTATTACAGATGTCCCCCATTTCCCCCCTTTTTCCCCTCCACCCAACGCCTGCCAGCCAGTCATCTTTCCTCAAATCCACAGTTAATAAATATAAGACTCTATGGGGGGAGGTTATATAAAAATAAATGCCTGTTAGCCACGGTAATGTTGTTTAAAAAGTATGACTGTCCTCAACATTTCACAAGCTATTGATGGTGCTTTCTACATCATAGTCTGTACTTTGCCATCTCTTTGAAGTTGTAGGAATTTGGAGCTGGAGGATATCTAATCCAACTGTCTCCTTTTAACAGATAAGGAGATGGAGGCTTTGAGAGATGCAATGGTTTGAACCAAGTGGCATAGTCAGTCAGTGACAGCAGAGCCTGCAATAGTTTCTGTCAACTGAATTCTATTTCAGTCCTTGAAACGTTCTCTGCCAATTTCTCTTCTGTTCACCTTATTGCTCCAAAGTTACTATATTTGAAAAAAAAAGAAAGGAGCTTAGAAATAGTTATCTAAAAAAAAACAATGGTGTGTGTGCACATGGATGTGTATTTGTATTTCAAATAACAATTAATGAGGCAATACATTTCCTCCACTTGCTTACTACATTGTTATGCATTAGATACTTAGCATTTGCATCACAAAAATTCTATTTTTATTTGCTATGCTTCTCTGACAGTATTATGATGAACTATATTCTATGTAAACCACTAAAAATGGCTTATTTTAATCATCAATCCAAGCTTTATTTGGCTTATACTCCCTTTTACATGGTTTTAATTATTAAAATGCAGGTTTATAAGATTCAACACTTACTAGCATTTCATTTGAGGAATTTATTTAGGAAATGCAGTATTGCTCTGTGGTTTCATAAAAAAAATTAATAAATATCTCTGAATAGATGGTAATTTCATGTTCATTTTCAGAGAGATTTAGCTACATTAGTAGTGCTATTTCACAACACCCCTAATCTTCTAAATTGACTTACTTGATCCTCTGCAGGATTTATTTTTCTAAAAACTTAGATTTCTATCTCTGCTGCTGCTTTTGAAATGCTCTTCATGATTATGAATCCATCTAATGTAATTTTCACATTTGGTGCCATTTTTCTCAAGTGACAATACAGGGCAGGAAAAACAATTTGGAAGTTCTTCAGACCAGCCTAGTACTTTGATTCAAATTATGGATAAAACATAAGGAAAAGAGAAATAGAAAGGTTGAAAGTCTCTATGTAAGAAAATCTTGTGTTAAAATCAAATAGATGGACTCTGCGATGTAAGAAAGGGTAATAATATTTTTAAAAATCTTGTCCCTAGCAAGATTTGCTTAGTGGTTAGAGTATGCACCCACAGACTAAAGGGGCCTGGGTTTGATTCTGGCCAAGGGCATGTACCTCAGTTGTAGGCTCGATCCCTGGCCCTGGTCTGGGTGCGTGCAGGAGGCAACCAATCTATGTAGGCAACCAATCTATGTGTCCCTCTCACATCGATCTCTCTCTCTCTTAAAAAAAAAAAATTAATTAATTAAATAAAATAAACCTTGGCAGAAATGAGCCTCTGAGCAGTAAGGAACTGAGAAACTGAGAGTAGCTCTGTTCCCTTTTATTAATACTTTGTAGAAACTTTGTCTCTTCTCTGGCGCCTTCATCTTTAGTCTATGTACTAGCACCTTCTCAGGACCTCACTTAGCTTTTCTTAGAGTAATTCAAGTACCTAATAATAATAATAATAATAATAATAATAATTTCTTATGCTTTAATCAAGATCTTCAGTAATGCCTACATTTTCACTTGGCAATGCTTGGAAGGTGTCTAAGGAAGCCACTGTGTGAATTGAGATCTACTCTGAAGACAGTGTGTCCATGGCATTAAATGTATACTCATTTTAACCAATAGTAGGGTTTTTTCCTGTAGGTTCTGACTTCATGCTAAAATGAAAAGAGGAAATCCTGTAAAGATAGAGAGATAGAGAGTTAGATAGATATGTGTATGTGTGTGAAATGTGTCAGTATGATGTGTGTGTGTGTGTGTGTGTGTGTGTGTGTGTTTTGCATATACTTACATCTCTAGGGAAAAGGTCACTTACCTCTCTTATCCACGTAAGGCAGAATTTTGAGTTTGGAGCTAAATGAGAATCAAGACCCCTGTGCATACCCTGTAACTCAACAATATATGTGTCGCTTTAAAACAACTGCCCTCATTTGGCTGCAGACATCGCAGCTCTGCCTCCTCTGGGGCAGGAAGGAGTCAGTTGTAAGCAGTTAGCAGAGTGCGAGTGCATGTTTCTTAACTGGATAACTTAGCCGACCCCCTGCCAGTATGAAGCTGGAGGACACTCAACCGGAGTCTGGCCCCTTTCCTGGGACCGGCGGCTGCCCCTTCCCAAGGCCCCCAGGCCCTCACACCCAGGGGGCTCCTCCAGCCTCCCGCCCGGCCCTGGCTCTCTTGAAGGAAGCCTCTGCCCAGCAGCTCAGGACCCCTGGGGGAGTCTCCTCTAATGACAGCTGCTGATGGGGCAGCTTTACCTCCTGCTGGGCTTCCCAGCTGTTTCGTTCCAGATCAGCCTGGAGCCTACCAAAGTAAATACAGAAATACAGAAATCATAAATAAATAATACTAGTTCATTCCTGCACCCCCTCCCCTAGGAGTCACCTCAAGAGGGCTGCTGTCCCCCAACCCTCCCAGGGCCAGAAGGGGAGCAAAGGTGGTCTCCCAGAGTGGCAGGAGGAGGGTTGATGTTTGCTTTGTTACT